TATGATGAAATATCTGTATAGATTTGCCCACTGCCAGTAAATGATTGATGAACATTGTCCATTAAAGTTGGAAGAAAAATATTATTTATCTTGTTAATCGTAAAAAATCCTAAATTATCCCCCTTATCCCTCTTTTGCATTGGGGATTTCGAAGAACTACCCAAAGATGTAAGGTATTGTTGAATATTTGGGTTTGTTGATGTTTGATAATATGACGATGTGTCCCTCATTGCAACATTTTCGCACAATTCTATGTTTCTAGAACAACCAACTCCATCAACTATTACGTTTCTGAATCTTCCTAAATTGGCTGGACTTTCTATCGCTTCATTTGCCCAACCTTCTGCTGTAGCTCTGGCTACCGATCCTTCAGCTGTCGTTGCGATAACATCTTCTGCGGCACCAAATTCGGCAGCGACTGTAGCGGATGACATGGCCGAGGGGATAAGTGTAAAATATGTTACACCAAAATAAAATGCGGCTATAGCAACGACAATGGCTATACCAATCAAAATCGATTTGAGAATGTTATGTTTATGTTTAGGCGGTGGCGGCGGTGGTGGGACCAATTGTTTTAGATTATCGGGAGTCATTTTTTCACTTAGTTCATTAAGGGCATCATGGAACCCTCGATGGTGTCTCTCCCAATAATTAAATACCTTATTTGCCGAATTAATCATGTGATATGTAGCAACAGGATAATCATCAGGAAGGAACGAGCTGCCTGAACCGAACAGAAGAGATGCAGCGTACGTTCCAACTTCACTACCAGTCAGATAATCGATGCATTCGGCTACATTTTCTGTTTTATTAATTGGAAAATCGGGTACATCTGGGTGCTTGCCTTCACTGCAATACTGGGCAGTTAGATCAGTTGGAAATGCATGAGCTGGGTTCGGGTTTTTTTGCCGATATGTAATTTTAGGGGTTGGAATAAGTTTCATCGTTTTATTACTTAAATTGCATTTGTAGTTGTCTTGATTGTTTTCGGTATACGACGAAACCGTAAGTTCATCCCTGTTTATATTCACCATGAAGCTGAAGTGGCAATCATAGGTACATCCCCACATAGTGATGTTTACAGTTGTTAATGGGGAATTATGACTTATAGTTTTAAAATCCCTGACCAAAAGAGACGTCGAATAAGCAATGCCATCGTCGTCTATATGGAACGCCGCAACATCAGAAGGTACGGCCTGGTCGCACATGTTAAAATCATGTTCTACGGTGATCCAATCAGCAATAACTACCGATGAAAAATTTATAAGAATATATAATAAACCTTTCTTCATAGTGAAATAATTTTGAAATAATTTTTTTTCCCTTGACGAAAAATCGAAGACATTATATACGTTTATAACCCTCGAAAAAAAATTACAAGATACCAGGGAGACCAAACCATTTCGGTATCAATTTTTTTCATTCAACGTTTAAGAAAATCTCTTCAAAATCCTTTAATTTTACGACTTTCATGTCGAAATTCTCCATTTGGTTCTTTTTTTATTTCTTTTTAAGTTTTAATTGTATCTTTTTTTTATTTAACATTTAATAAATCAAATTTGACTTTGACAATCCAAAACGTCAAACTCCATTTATTTTATTTTCGAACTTTATAAGTTTAATTTTAACTGCAGTCGATCTCGGAACAGTCGATCTTGTCCGGAACATTACAATATATTTTTACAACAAAATAATTTTTTTTATCATCTCGCTTCAATTTATTGAATTACTTAATGTATATAATAATCTACAATGTAAAATGTAAATTATTTTTCTTGGCAAATTTGGCAAATGGATTTTTTTTTTTTTTTTTTTTTGGTGATTGTCCGCGTTCAAATTGTGGTCCAATCGAATCTTAGTATCGAAAAGCATCGCGATTTTACTTTTTTGAATCCCTAAATTAGAATAGATTGATTTCGTTCGAATCTTTTTCTGGATATATATTCGGAATTTTGCAATCGCAAAATGTGACCCGGCGTAAATATTATTATTAATATAGTATCATAGAAAGTAGTAAATAATTGCCTAGCCGGATTTATAATCGATGGCGATATTTATTTAATCTCCAAAGAATTAGAATTTATATGAGATAATATTTTTTTTTCGAAAAGTGACGAGCAAAATTATTTCTTTATTAGTACTAATTTAGTAATTTTTTTTTTTTTGTTTACCACCCTAAAATATTTGATTCGAAGTTATGCAGTAATAAAATTAAAATAAGTTTAGTACGAAACAAAATCATTCATATATGGAAAACCGGTACGATTCAAATTTCGCGAAAACAGCAACTAAAATTTTCTGATTTGGTAATCCGTTGTGTCATTAATTTTGGTGATACAGCATTTATTTTATATTTTTTTAGAATAATATAACCCGTAAGATCCCGGCTGAACGATCATCAAAACACTTGCCAGCATCAGGAGATCAATTAAGGCGATTATGTGCGCAAAAATAATCGATTGTAAATAACTCCGCCAATCCCTACCCCGTCCGAAGAATATGCGGACACAAAAAAACTTAGAATATACTGATTTTTAGAAAATTTAACATTTTATTTATTTATTGCAAATTTGTGTAACTAAATTTCTTGCGGTTTCTTTTAATTGATATTTTTCATAACCCATTTCCAAATATTTATGTAATAAATAAATATCAGATATATGTAAATTTTATTTAGAAACGCATTTTACAGAAAGATATTAATATAAGCTATAATCGTATTTATGTATATAATAAATTTTTGCGTTATCGTAGCGGCTGATCGAGAATCGGCAAATTTAAAAGTTTCAAAGTGTCTTGTTCAATAATATTTGTAAAAATAATGAGATTATTATAGAGAAAAATAAAAAATACTCATAAAATTAGTAAAGAATTTATACAGTTACCATTAATATTGTATTATATTCAATCAAATAAACTAGCATCTTCAGATTTGGAATAAGGTTCTTGAGTCTCTCCTTCGACGGTATCATTATAATCTTTTAAACCTTCATTATTTTTCAAATCATCATGGATATCTGCAATATCTTCTTCAATTGGAATAAGTTGCATATTCAATCGTTCCTATTGATAAAACTTTGATTAGGAAGAATATAATCAATATAAATGTGAAATTGAATACTTACCAAGAAAATCGAACATCGCTTCTTAATAGCTTCTTCAGTACATCGGATGTCTTTGCTTCGTGGATTTAAGACAATACTACAAACTGCAAGTGCGAATGCTACTATTGAAGGCTTAATACAAACCTCTCTATCCTCTCTAGGCATAGCCTTCATAATAATCGTATTAATTGTTAGGAGACCAGAATCGTCCGCTTTCCATATGTCCAGATACGCTTCAGCAACTCGTGGATTTCTTTTCCATTCAGCAATTTTTGTACCTGCATTTGCCTTTATTTCAGGAACCTCAGGAAATACTTTGAAAAGTGATAACCGAATATCCTTGGCAATAGCACTTCGACGGTGACGCATTTTTTCAAGACACTAAATAAAATTTAAATAAAAATGACAGACTGAAAATTCATAAGAAAGAATAACTTAGTTACTTACGATAGCCATATATTCTGAATAAAAACGAGAATCCCAACGATGTTTTCCAATATCTTTAATATACCCTTTAGAATGCTTTTCAACATAACTTTCAAGATGTTCTTTAAATAATTCTGCAGTAGGGTATAAAGTTATCTTTTGAATCTCCTTAGTAATGGCGACAATACCTTTCTAACAATTAAATAATTATATAATGAAATATTAAATAACATAAGATTATTATAACTTTTGAAATTTATTACTTACCTCGAAAAAGATAGGTGATAAGCTATCTTCACGCTATAGTTTTAAAAGAACCTTCATAATCTCATCGAATTTTTTATCATGCTTTAATTGATTCTTCTAAATAACTTTATTCTGTCCATTCAGTTTTTCTAAAAAATCCACAGGAACCAAATAATAGTCATTATGATCTCCTATATTATTAAGTATAAAAACTTAAATATCAAAAAATATATAATTTATATTAAATTTATATAATATTACCAGTCATGATTTTTTTTTCCGTTTGCATCGATACAATATTATTAGTATTCCGATTACGTTTTCTTGAGTTTATTGGATTAGGAACCAAGTGATCTTGTAGGGTATATTATTGCTCATTATATTCAATTTCGATATCTTTAGAACTGTTTAAATTATCATTTTCTTTTCTAGATTGAAGTCAGTTATACTGTTTCGAGGAATAATTATCATTATTACTATCAAGATCATGATTATCCTCTTGTTCGCTTTGATATCCATCTATATTAGAATAAGATATAAGTTCTTTATTTCTTTTTTTACGATTTTGAAGAAATTCATATGTTTGTTCTGAATCAATCGGTAATAAATTTTTAGAAAAACCTATAATAATAAAATGACATTAATCTAATCTAATAAATATCAATAAAAAACACATAAATAGTTAATGATACCATTATCAGATTCTTTAAACAAAGCCTTAATTATAGAAGCAGTAGTAGGTGACTGTGATGATAAAGTTGTTGTATGAGAAGTGAATGCCTGTGGTGGTAGATTTGTTAAAGATTTTTTATGAGAAGCTTGCTGCTGCGATAATAGATTTGTTGAAATTCTAGTAGAAGCACGTGTTCTTTCAATAATCGAAGATTTAGCTAGTTTAAAATAAAGTTTATTCAATATACAATTTGATTAATTATTTAATAAAATTAAATTTTACATTGTTTTGCTTTAGATTTTTTTGTCGTTAAGGCTTCTTCCATTGCTATATTTTAATATTATCAATATTATTAATACTTTTGTTTTTTAAATTACAAGAACTTAATAAATCAAAAAAAATTTACAAAACTTTGAAATTTGTATTATTTGGAAAAAAAATCATTCGTAGAAAAAAATCATTTGTGAAAAAAAAGAAACATGATATTTAAAATACTTAAATAATCAGTTTATGATTAATATACAGAGGGTGATCACGGGTACCGAACGATTAATTAAACTATTTGAATTTACTTATTATATTAACTTTTTTTTTAGAATAAGCAAAAAATTTATTTGT